ACCCCTGTGACCGGGGCACCACACGGGGCAGCAGGGCCACGCTGTGGGGCCGGTGGGGGGCACCGATCTGTCCCTCCTCCCCCCCTGAGCCAGGCTTTGCGGGAGGAGCTCCAGCCTGGCGTTCCTGAGGCTCCCTCGGGCTCTTGCCAAGTCGGGTTGGTCTTTGCAGAGCAGAAGAATGTGCAGTGAAATGTCCCCGTTCCTGCCCTGCACACGCCGAGCAAAGCCCGGAACGGGCAGAGCCGGGGGCACAGCGGGGTTTTAGGATGGGCGCTGTGGGCAACAGGCACGTGGAAAGCTGACTGTGGGAACTGGAGACAGCAGCAGCAGCAGGAGGGCTCATCCCACGCAGAGATCCCCACGCGTCCCCCGGCACAGCTGCCTTTCCGATGGGAAAGGGGCAGAGCAGAGCCCCCGCCTGCAGCCGGGAGCAGGGGGGGTCGGGGAGCACACGGGGCCTGGGTGCTGGAATAACAGAGAACAGGGAAGAGATGAAGGCAGAGTTTGGAGGCTGAAGAAGCCGCCACTGTGCTCACACCCCTCCCAGCCAGCAGGGATTCACAGACTGAAAGCAGACACGGGGCTGGGGATGCTGTGGGAGCCTGGCAGGGCCCCGGCACGTCCCTCTGTCCCTGCTCCGTCCCAGGTGCCTTTCCTGGGACACACAGCACGCAGCAGCCACAAGCTGGATCCCGTCCAGGCAGGGCAGGGCCACCCTCGAGGCCAGCACGAGGCACACGGGTGTCCCCATGAGCTCTGTCACACTCTGCCCTGTGGCTGCCAACCCCTCCAGCTCCATCAGAGCCTGAGCAGGGGCCCAGGAGCTGGCACAGGATAGACCCCAGCCCTCCACTCCAGCCTGAGCTCCCTCTCCCTGCACGGGGGGGCAGAGCTGTGCCCCCCCCAGCAAGCAGCAGTATCTATGAAAATACTTTATTGTGGAGGGGGGAGTGCAGGGGCTCTGTACAGTGCAGACAGCGGCAGCAGCGCCGTCACCAGCAAACACACACCACGGTGGCCCCCAAAGCCCAGCCAGGGGGCAGCGGGAGCCGGGGGGGCCGCAGCCCCTACGTGGCCTTGGGCCGGGCGTTGAGGCGGATGATGGCCCGGTAATCCCGCACCAGGTCCCGCAGCTGGTCCAGGTAGGGGTTGATGTTCTCCTCCATCCACTCCTCCACCGTGTCAGGGAAGTAGATCCTCTCCAGCTGGGCACGCAGGTCACGGACAAAGCTCTCCCAGTCCTCATGGAGCCTGGAGGGGAGAGCAGGGGTCCAGCTCTCTCCTGTGAGGGACCCCAGGGCCGAGCCCGGGACCCCTCCCAGCCCCCAGCACCACGTACTTCAGCACCTTGCTGCCAAAGCTCTCCATGTTGCGGGGGTTCCCAAACTGGCGCTTCCGATGGTAGGGGCTGAACCAGCCCTTGATGGCACTGCAGAGGCACGAGGGACTTGGGGCACGGGGCCACCGGGGACGGGGAGCTGCTCATCAGGCAGGTCCCCTCCCATGGAAAAACATGGCCAGAGGCACCAATCCCACTGCTCCACCCTGCCCGTTACCTCTCCTCCTCCAGGGCCTTAAGGATGCTCTCCTTCAGGTGGCCATTAACCTGCTCCACCATGTGATAGATCTCCACACCGGGGAACGCTCCCCTGCCCTCGCTGGGGAAAGGGAGGGGAAGGTGAGGGCTCAGCACGTGGGGTGCACTGGGCTGGGTGAACCCCAGCACCCTGGCAGGGCTGGGACCAGGGCATTTGGGTGACCAAGCCCCTGCTTCCCTCCAGTGCATCCCTTCTCATGCAACTGCCCCGGCCACGTGCCACGCACCAGGTGCTCTGCTCCAGCTGCACGCTCTCCAAACCCAGCACATCCAGGACCTTCCTCTTTGCCTCTTCTGTGAAGCCCCCTGGAGGGTGAGGAAAGGGACAGAAGAGCTTGGGACACCTCACCATCACCCTGCCTTCACCACACTCCCAAATGTGAGTGAGGTGAAGATCTTCCTCCTCTGCCTCCCACCTCCCCCAGCGCCCTGCCCAGCAGGACGGGCTCTGGCAGGCAGTGGGAGCTGGGGGTGAGCCTGGCCATGCCAGCAGGGCTGGGGGCTCACCGTTCACCAGGGTCTGCAGGCAGATGGCCAGCGAGGGGATGCTGACGGGCAGCAGCTCGCAGAGCACCGAGTAGTGATCGTACCTGCGGGACGGGGACAGCCACCACCTCTGCACCGTGCCAGCACGGCTCTGTGGGCACCGGGAGGGCAGGGGAGGGTCCCAGCACCCCTTACCTCTGCCAGCCGGTGAGCACAACACCCTGCAGGCGCAGCGGGGCCAGCCGTGGCACGGCCTGCATCACCTTCAGCCAGCTGAGGTGGTTTTTCAGGTGGTAGCTCAGCGGGGTCCAGGCCTGTGCCGGCCCCGTGGTGCCCTTGAAGGCGCTGGCGAACCAAACCGCCTCGAAGCCGCTCTCCACGTACTTGGTGAGGAACGGCACTGCAGCGGGACAGGCGCAAGCCACCAGTGCCACTGTCCCCAGGAGGCTGCGGGGGGACCAGGGGGGATCCCCCCCACACCCCCAGGAGCCTGGCACGTCACCTTACCGATCTGCTCAGCCTCGAAGTCGGGCGCGTAGAACCACACCACGGGTGAGACGTGCTTTGCTATCCCGGACTCTGCAGGGACAGCAGCGAGGGGACGTTGGTGCCGGCAGCAGGAGGGAGCCTCGGGCTGCTGAGGAACCTGGCACAGGAGCCACCGCTGCTGTCCCTGTCCCCTCACCCCGCAGGGCTCCCACGCTGATCTTCCTCAGCATGTCGTCCCACATGAGCACCCGCAGCCCCCAGTACTGCGCCGTGAGGAAGCCCAGAACCTCCTTGATGTGCTTCAGGTACATGGTGCCCACGTCGCCCTTGTTGTGGCTCATCCAGTTCTTGGAGTCCATCCCCTCCCCGAGGTGGAAAACCTGGACTTGGGGGAAGGGAGATGCTCAGCAGCCCTGGGAGCACCCCTGGGGTCCCTGCACAGCCCCTGCCCACCTCGTCTGCGCCGATGTGGATCCAGGTGGAGCGCCGGTGCTTCTCGATCACCTGTGACAGGATGCTCTTGAGCAGGGCCAGGGTGTCGGGGATGTGGGGGTTGAAGCTGTTGGGGAAACGCTCGACCTCCCGCAGGTGCTGGTACTTCTGGTGCTTGAGGATGAACTGCAGGGAGGAACCATCAGGGAGGTGTCCAGGAGGAACCCCTGTGATGGGGAACATCCCATTCCCTGGGATGGGGAACAGGACTGGGACCCTCTACCTCCACATGGCCAAAGGTCTGCACCAGGGGAACCACCTCCAGCTTGTGTTGTTCCGCCAGCTGCTGGATCCGTTCGATGTCCTCCTCGCTGGGAGGGCAGGGACAGGCTCAGCGGGGGATGCCAGGGCAGAGAGCAGAGCATGGGGGCACTTCCCCCTCCTCCCCCTCCTCTGGCACCCTGCCCACATGGCCCTGGTTGCCCCACACGTGTGTGCACTTTACTGAGGGGCACAAATATTGACCTGCCAGGGCAGGAAGCTGGTCTGCCCAGCAGCACAGCCTGGCACTCTGACCGTGGTTATCGTGGGCACGGGGCCAGGTGGGTCACACCCAGCCCCTGGCACACCGGGACCTGCGGGGGCTGCAAGCCTCACAGCCAGCTCGGCACGCAGCCCTGTGTGAGCCCTGCTCACCTGTAAGCGTACGGGGACCTGAGGATTTCCAGCTCCCCCTTGAAGGGGAACATGTCCTCGTACTCGATGAGGACGCCGTTGGCTCCCAGCTGGGACAGGAGGGGGAACACCTGCAGGGTGGGCAGGGTGGG